ATTTACATTGGCTGAAATTGATAAAACTATTAATTTGACATGACAAACGATTAATAAGATAACAAAGTTATTAAGTGCATGTATATATATACACGGGGCTTAGAGTCAGAAAAGAAATAAAAGATTTAAGAGGTTAATTTTAAAAGTTTAAATGTTGGGATGTCATATGCAATTACCCTAAAATTTAAGGGCATTTTGTATATTGTACCACTTCAAAGTTTTGAACATAGCTTGCTACACTACCAGTAGAGAAAAAACCATTGTTATTTCACTTGCTCCATACCAAAGACAAGTACCGTCTAGAGGCCAAGCATTAGTAACATCCAAACACCTACTACCCTAACTACGTTCTGAGCTTCTTGGAGCATAAAGATTATTAGCTTCCCAATAACTAATCTAACAAGTTGATGACACCCTCAGAATCAATAAATCGTTTCTCAAACAAAAAGCCACACCTAGCTTTATTATCTATTCATTAACTTCATCTTTCTTGTAAATTTGTTTTTTTATAAGAGGAAAGATTAGGTAAGTTGAATCTCAGGTGTTTATTAGGGTTAGAGCATGCCTCCAAACTAGGAAAGCACTTACAGATGTATACTTATAAATCGTCCACCAACAAGATCTCACATTGGCAGTAGGATTTAAACCCACGACCTGCTAGGTTAAAGGCTAAATCCTAAAATCAATATTTTATACAAAACCATACATCAGCAGAGAAAATACTTGTGTAATTTTTCAAGCTAGCTTAGAAGCCAAAAAAATCATATTCACTATATTGTTATTATTTATTTATTAAAATTACCTTTTTTTTTACTTTTCTTTTTCGAAAAACACGTATTTTACTTTACTAACTTTAACTAGTCACATGTTGATTATCAAATCACCATTACTGATAAAATCTCCAAAAAGTAATTAAAAAAGCATTTTTTATTTAAATAATATCTCATTAAAATATTAATGATTTAATATTTAATAAATTAATTTTTTTATTTAAAAATATTGACATGTATGATTTATAAGACTAATTTATAAATTTACACCTCAATATTCAATATTTATAAGTGAATAGGTCTTTTACACTAACACAATTATAAATTAAAATGTGTTCATTTATAAGTCTTCCTTCAAATTTTATATATTATCTTTCAAAAATTTACAACTTAACTGATGTAATTAAACCCAAACCGATCATTAAACTTGTCAAGGTAGTGTTTTAAGGGTCAGTGTGGTTTGGACCAGGATCAATCTAGTCTTGGTTATTTTTTTTTTTATCTCAAAACAATATCATTTTAGCCTCTTTGACTCATAAAAAATGCTCTCAACCAGATTGGCCAGCGCGAAATACTCCATTCAATTCAAAATGTAAACATTTCCTCTCAACTGATATTGGTTCAAAATATAATCAACTTAGTACATGCAAAAAAATTTTTCCATTTTACCCCTTATATTTATTAACCTAACTCTTTGTATAAATGTATCTCTCACTCATCATGGAGTTCATTGGTAATTAGGACTATGAGTAAAAAAATATTATATACTTTTATGAGAATAAGGATTTTTTTTTTTTTTCTGAAAGCTGCTTATATTTTGGACAGAAAGGAGTAGTTCACTAGTTCATTGGTCTACTAAGTCATTGAGTTAGGTTTTAATACCATGAGTCCATCTGAGATTTAAAAGTGGATTTTTCACATCATTTGAGTTATAAATTAACCTAGTCTGATAATATAAAAGGCTCCGTTTGATCGGAATCGAAATTTAACTAATGTATCTTATATTTATAAATAAATATGTTTCTAACACCAGAGAATTGTTAATCAGTGTAATAATCTATAAGCCTTTTTTTCAAAATCTATAGATCGCTCATTTAAAAATATCATATTCCAAATTTTTAAATAAACATGTTTTTTACAAGTGCAAAGTATACATGAAAATTGTTTGGGGGAAGTGGGCAGTTTGCCCCCACCCTGGATGTACCTAGATCACTTTTCACCCCTAGATCCCTTACTCTTCTAATACTATTTATGAGAATAAGTCATCGAAACACGTTTATTAAATCTTTCCTCACTCTTCACCCCTAGATCACTTACTCTTCTAATACTATTTATAGAGAAGAAAAAGAAGATTAATTCTGATATTTATGTAGTAGTTTACTATTTTCTACATTAATTTATCTTTAAATTTTTCTCTTATTAAATGCTAGGAAAAAATATTAAAAATAATTTATGTTGTCCTTATCAAAGGTAGAGTTGAAAAATTTATTAATTTTTAAGACAGAAAATTTATGAGATTTAATATTTTTCTTAGTTTCAGAGAAATATATTAGAAGTGACTTATAAATAGGATTGGAAAGGTATAGTTACATATGAAAAAATGAAAAATAAATTAAAAATATATACCTAAAGTATTGTCTCATGGAAAAGGAGATGTCATATCTTTCCAATGAAATCACTGTTGAGAAAGAAGTTAAATAAAAACTTACTTTAAACTTTGCAAGAACATGTGAAGATCTTAAAAACAAGATAACAAGAAAATGCTTCAAACTTGTTCTTATTATCACTCCTTTGAATTTCAGTGAATTCATATACATATATATATATATATAGCCCCCCCCGGCCTCATTTTATTATTTTCAACTTTAGGTAACCCATTCCCCTAACGTATGGTCTTCAAACAAAATACATATATAATCCTTATCCATTGAAATATAACTATCCATGCAGTTCATGTAACTGGAGAACAAAAGAGACTGACTGATAGATCTAATTTAACTAACACTTAACAGATTTGCCTATTATTATATATACTGTATCTAGTTCTTATTATAAGATACCTTAGCTTTTAAAAGAGATTGATGATCCTTATTATGCGTGAAGGACAAGAAACTATAAATATGCAAATTTCTTTATTTGTTTATGTTTCAGAGGTTGTCGCGGGTTCCCTTGATTTTCCACAATGTGTGTGCTTGTGCAAGGAAGCTAGAGTAGATTTTGAGGTTGACAAAATAATTTCAGAATTGATTCACTTTTCTTGCTTCATCTTCGGTTTCATGCTGAGATTTTTAATCTATTAAATATAATCCGATCAAACTTATGAATAAAAGAATTTTTAATGTGTGTTGTACTGTTGAAATCAATTGGGTATTGTACTGTTTTTTGGTTCACAGTTTATATTAACTGTAAATATTGTGCATGTAAATGTTATATTTAAATTTTATCTTAGAGTCTCTGTTTATTCTGTGTTCAGACCTTTCGTACCCTGCAATTATTTATCTCTTCAAAGTTTAAAAGTCAATTGAATATTTCAGAATATCTCATAGGCTTTTATGCCATTAGGCTCAGCTACGGGTATGTGAGTGGGGGGAAGTGGCGAAAATAAACCAAAGGTCTTACAAGTTGAAATTTCTTCCGAGAATTAATTTTTGATTAATTTCAAAATGTCCAACGGTAATATGTGTGCGTGTGCGTGTGCGTGTTTATGTAATTGTGTGGGTCCAATATATATATATATATTTATTTATATTTATTTATATGCACATATATTTGTATGTGTTTCATCTTTTGACTTTTAAATACAGTAAGAGTAAGAGTAAGAGTAACAAGGGGGACTGATCAAAAAGAGTCAAATTAATTTATTCTAGAATATTAAATTAAATTTTGATATATGTAGTCACATTAAATAAAAATGTCAAGGTCATCTCCGAAATACTTGTGAGACCCTTATTAGTAAAAATGGCCCACGGTGAAAATTCAGGTTAATCTGAGAGGGTTAATTAAGAAAAAGAAAAAACTTTGACTATAAATTTTAAAAATTAAAGGATTAAAAAGAAACCTATTAAATTGAACTTAAAAAACCTTCTAAAATTAAGACATCAAAATAAGACATGCCGTAAATTTAAGGAGTTAAAACACTTTCAATCACAATCTTAGGATCTAGCAAGATGCAACGTTATATAAAACTTTATATATTAATTCAAAATAAAAAATTATGATAAGAAGTATGGTTATTTTTAAAAACTAGATACAATATGATTTTTTTTAACACAATGCTGATCTCTCTCTATTTTTTTATTATAGGAAAAGCTGTCATATGCTTCATTATTTTTTTATAAGCAAAACAAAACTACAAAACTCAAGAAGTATTTATTAAATTTTTTCAATGTTTCCTCTCATAAAATCAAAGTTTATTTTTACGAGACAAACTTGCGTCATTAATTATAAGGGTAATTTAATTTATTTTTTTATTTCAAACATAATTAGTAGGGAAAATTATGAACAAGTCTCATATGGCAGACTTATTTATAAATAAATTCCATAAAATTCAGAAATTATAGCCAAATCTCTCTTAAGACTTGAGTGTAATTTGTGGTTGAAGTGTACAAACAATATACTCTTGTTAATTGGGCTTTCACTTATAATTGTAACTTCAAAATTAATAAGTAAAAATTCATAATTCACAAGTTAAATTTCTTGTTTCACGCTTGATATAATATAGAATCATTATGAAATTAATGATGCTTATACCTAAGCTATAATTGATTTAATTGGATGTAAAATTCGTTTTCAAACAATTAGGCAGTAACAAATTCAAAGCAATTGAATTGCGCATCTCCGAATTTTGGCACATTTTTCTAGTCCAGTCTCATTCATCCTCCATAAATTAATCTATCTAGAAGGATGTGTGTGTGTAGTAAATGAATGCAAATATATAATATGATAAAAATTTAATTCTCTCTCCCTGACTAATAGGACAATTCTTTTTTACTTTTCAAAAATTAAAATTATCAAGAAAATGGTGAAATTTCATTTGCAACAATAATTATTTCTCATAAAAAAAATGAAAGAAACCAAATTCTGAGGAAGCTTTGATGAGAATATGTGATCGCAGCTCATTAATTTGTTTCCAAAGAAATCATCACTGTTCAGAAAGAAAATGTAAAACATCAAATTTATTCATTAAACTTACTCTAAAAACATGACAAAAGAGACAATTTTATTTCCACAAGAAAATACGTACTTTATTTTATTTATTCTTATTTTTCATCAAACCATAAGACAATACATATTATTCCTTTCCCATGCATACTCTCATTATTCATAATTAATGCAAATTAACAAGACAAACGAGATCATCATCAACTTCCTTTCATTGATCATCAATAAGGTCTTTGTCCACGGTAGTTGCCAGGAGGATAATAGTTGCAGCCAATGAAAGTCCCTCCATTGTTACACCTCACTTTACCACACCCAACACTAGCCGAATTCTTCCACACCACCTGAGTATAGTGTCCACAAACCTTCCCTGGATCACATGTGTTGCTGTCATAGTGATAGTACGCCTTCTCGTCCACCCACAGCTTCACGGCATCTGTGCCGCTTAGGTCTCCAGAGCTCCATGCAAGGTTCTCACCATACTTGCCGCCGTTACCATCGGAGTGCACCAGCTGGCAGTCAGCCTTGCGTTGGTTAGCATAGTTCTGTGCATAGGAAGCGACTGTATAGTTCCAAACTATGTTTGGAACACCCACTTGTGATCTTGCTGCGTTGTGGGCATTCACATAGTCTTGTGGTGAATTTTGAGCAGAGGCCGTGAGGGCAAAGAGAATGAAGAAGAAGAGAGAAGATGAAAGCTTGGAAGATAGCTCCATTGTTTGTTGTGTGATGTGTTGGATGAAGAAATGAGAGATGTGGAAATGAGAAGCCTTGGGGAGCAATTTATAGGGATTTTCATGTGGAAAATTGGTATATTTTAGTTAGGGCTTTTGTAAGCAACTAGCTAGGTTGGTGGAAATGTTAAAATTAGCTTTATAGATTTCGGGTTGCTCTAACAAGCAGCATTAAATAATCTATAACTTGACGAGGTTGGCAAAGTAATTTAAGATTAGGAGAATCTCACTTAGGACCCAATACAATCTATAACTTAACGTGTCTTTTTCATTAAAACATATTTTCACTTAAGACCCTTGAGCTTATAAGGAGTTTTCAAATTGTATTGGACCCTAGGTGCAAATTTTTGTGCTCTAATAAGGGCCCTAAGCAATATTCACACTTTAAGATTTGTTAGAGTTTTTTTGCTTTGGTTACCACTTTAATATATTTTGACTTTTTTTAACATATAGAGGATAGAAACAATATTGTTCAAAGTATAATCGAGTATTATTAATATGATATGTCCTCTAATATAATTTTTATACTATTTGCCTGTTTGCCCTAGCCTAGCTGTGTGTTTCTTCATTCTGAAACTTCATCCATTGCATGTTTAAGGATACTAATTACTTGTCTTGTTTGTTTTCTGTCTTAAACTCATTTTTGTACAATTCATCATAATTATAATAAGTCAGTACAAGAAGTAACAAATTTTATGCACGTATTAGTCATAGTAAGTCTTTATGGTTAGATTTAAAAATAATACAATTTGTTCTTGAAATGCAAGGGAAATATATAATACTATATGTCAATTTGTACTTAAAGTCCATGAATCATTTGTTTTTCTATATGCTCTCATTTTATTTTAATTTAAAAAATCAACTTTCTCCTCTAATTGTGATTAGCTCAACTTAATTGAATTTGCTTAATCTTTTACTTGATCACCTTTTTTTAAAACAAATGTTGTAGAATGATACTTTATTTAAACTTTATTACTTATCATAGCACATACACTTAGGTTGCGTTTAAATGGGTGAATTTAGGAATTTGAATTTGAAATCTTATATTTAAAACCTTACATTTGAAATTCATAAATTCTAAATTATTTGTTTGGATGGTATAAAAAATTTTAAATTATAATATTAAAATCCTTTGTTTTGATCTCAAATAAAATTCAAATTATATGTTTGAATTTAAAAAAAACTCGAATGATGTCAATGGTCCAGCCCTAGTCAAAGTTGGTGGTTTGTTCTAAATCAGGAGTGGTGGCATCATCTTGGTTGACTGTAGCTATTAAAACCTAGATGACATTAGTGGTCTAGTCTTCATTAGTAGTGGCAACCTAGTCCCTGTCAACATTAATGGCCTAATCCCAAACAATGCTTACGAATTAGCACAGGATAATTAAAGCAATTCGAAGGTTAGGGATCAAAGTTGGATGATGACACGAGCCCATTTCTTATTAATAGTAGCGGTTAGCACTAGACCACAAAGTTGAATGGACTAAAGATGGTGATCATAGATTAGTCCCGAACTGTGACGACATTAGGTCTTAGTCAATGCCAACCTTATAGTCTCAATCATAGTTAGCGGTCTAATTTAATCCTATTAAAGGTGATCATTCGGACTTGGTCACAGCATGTGGCCCATTTTTGGTAAACACTGGCCGTTCAGTTCCAATCAAAGCCAAGCATTCAATCTCTATTGCAATCGACGATTTAGTCCCAGTTGGCTTTAACCCTTCAACCTTGATCAAAGCGAACCCTCCAATCATAGTCAGCACTAACTGTCTAGTCCCGATCAAAGTCACCAATTCAGTGTTGGTCCGACCAACTATCTAGTCTTAGTCATCACTAGTAGTCCTTTCCTAGTCGACACTAACCATCAAGTCCTAGTCACAATTGATTGTCAAATCCTAGTCGACATTAACGGTTCAGTCCCTATTAATGTTGTCCATGCTATACTGGTCAAAGTCAATTGTTCAATCCCAATCGACACCAGTGGTTCGATCCTTCTTAGTATCGGCTACCAAGTCCCTATCAACACTAGAAGTTTTATCTCAGTTGGTGTTGGCATTCTGGTCCTAGTTGTCATCTGCAGTCTGATCCTTGTCGATGCTAGCAATCTAATCCCAATTAACACTAGTGGTCTAGTCTCGACAGATGTTTGAAAGGCTCTTATAGCAAGTTGTAAAATTTTTCTTACAAATAACGATTAACATTCCAAATTCATAATAATCAGGGATTAACTCATAAGAGACTATCGAGTTTATAATTTGAAATAACGGGATTCTAAGTTTTCATAGTTAGAATAACTCAAAATCATTCATTAGACCTTTAATCAGAGTAAAATAATGTTATAAAAGCATATGATATCTTAGAGGAGTGAAAAGGAGCTAAAAATAGTTGAAAATCTCAAGATTTTGAAAATAGAGCAGTGTACCATGGCTTATGCACTATGCACCGTAGCTTGTCACTCTTCGTACAACCCGCCATGGCGTAGGCCCCATATGCCACAACTTGTTGCATGCTCATGACAACAATCCTACTATCATTTGATAGCAAATTCGGGCAACTTTTGATGTGTCACATTTCTCTATCTAACGTTCAAATGAAATGATTTAGGTGTCAACTAAAATCTCTTTTCACAACTAGCTAATGACATAGGTTTTACTTTCAAATCAAGTCACACTAGGAAATTAGACACTCAAATATATTTTCACAACTTTCTCAAAAAAAGGGTGTCCAAAACCCTATACAAGTGCTAAAAGTCATTCCTAATACTCTGACCATATTCATTAGACCAAGGACTAATAGTATAACACACTATTGAACCTTAGTTTTGATGATTATAAAAAGATTAGAGTAGTTATTTTTGCAAAGCAAAATTGTCAACGGTAAGTAAAGAAGGCTTATGTGCTTAAATTATTTGATTATTCTTAACCTTAATTTCTATTCCATTTATAAATAATTATTTGAGTTATTTCTATCTAATAATTATTCAAATCTAATTGGTAATGTTTAAAAAATCTTCTGCTGATCTTGAACCTGCTGGTATATGTTATGTACTGGTATGTCTATTTTCTATATAAAGATCTCTATCTTACCCCAAATGACTAGTTCTTATGTGATTCTGTCATTCTTACTGGTATGTCTTAAACCTACTTGAAGGTCTTATGTCTACCAATATGTGTAAGATATAGCCAAATGTCTTCTCATGCTCTCAAATTTTCATCTTCTGGATAGTTCTACTGATATGTACGAGATCTACCCAAATGTCTTATATTCTACCTACAGATATTATCCTCAATCAACATTTTTTATAATTAATCCTACCAGTATATCATTCACTTTATAGTATGTGGTCTTTACTATCTTATATAAAACCTTATACTTATATTGGTATGTCCTGACTTCTATCGATATGCATTTGAATATTTCACCTCTATTTTTCATTTCAAAAATAGACCATCTTGAATCTTCTATAAGCCCTATCCTTTTCAACTTCAAAGTTTTGTGTTCACTTTCTTATCATCCTAGAATATTTTTAAAATACAATCACGGGTGAAATAAATCTCTTACTTCATTCTTTGATTTATACTTTCTATCTATCGTATGCCTTTGCATTATTGGTATCCTTCATTTTTTACCTTTTCTCAGAGCATTTAATGCATATAGCCGTTACTTTTCTTAAGGCACCAACAATAAGTAAAACCATTAAAAAGGCACTATTTCATTGCCATAAAAGATGAAAGAGCTATGAGAAACTGAGTTGAAATAATCAACGGCAAATATATGAGTCTAACAGATAAATTTCCAAAATCTACTATAAATTGAACTGATTTATGAAGAAAGAAGTAGTAGAAGTAAATTAAGCCAACTACCTACATTCATTCTCTAACTACATTTTGCTAGTACATTTGCTTTTCTGTATACTTTCATTGATTGTATATCCACTCTTAGAGAGAATTTTTATTAGTAGTAGTTCATTATTGAACTTACTTTTTTCTTCCTTCTTTTACTCACTTGAAACAGAGGTACTTAAGGTCGAAGAGCTTAAAAAGAATTGATATTACATGTGTAAGGGAAAGAGTTATAAACTCTAGGAGGAGTCTTGTATTATGGCAACCAAGAGCCTATGTTAATCTTAGTGGGAATAGTTAAAAAATCTCAAGTGTATCTTAGAGACTGGATGTAGACTCAAGTAGTTGGAGCTAAACCAGGATAAACACTCTATGTAAAGCTTGTCTTCCCTTTGCTTAGTCTTGTTTGGTGATATTGTCCCTTACATAGTTTAATTATTGCATTATTTACATTAAATTTTATTTAGCATAATCCACCGCCCCTCTTGGGCAGACTTTGCACACACCACATGCACATATAAACTACTATTCCACATTTTCACCTCTCAACTCCTTTAATACTAAAAACAGAATAGGGAGGTTTTAGCATTGCATTTTATTAAAAATCATCCATATCATTTTCAAAATAATCTTAATACACTTGCACTAGTATTTAGCTCCATCAACTCTCAGGGCCTAAAATACATTCCATATGTCATAAAGAGCCATACATTGCAAGTGTAAGCAAACTACAACCTAATCATAAATATTCAAACTATTACACAAAATAAATGAATTAAAGAGGCATACAATAGGAATACTCAGATTCCTAAACCTTTGGAGCCTTATCTCTTTTTGCGCTAGAGTTAGAGCTTGTAAAATGTTAAAATAGAGGGGAAGTCTAGCTAGCTACTCAGTAACCAAGGTATACCTATCCTATGTAGTTATATATCAATTGATTTAAATACTTAAAGTAAGTTGAATATTTAAAATCATATGATTAAATGAGATATAAGATATAATTTCATAATTAATTTTACTTTTACTTATACCAATAAAGATCGCAAAGCACATTGCCACAAGACACACAGACATAAGGCAATGACCCAAAAAGTTCTTTCTCGACTTGACACAAACTTAAACAACCATGTGACACATCAAAAGATCACATAAGC